TACGCACACTCCGTAGCGCACATGCACGCTCGTAAAAGTATTATTAAAACGTTTTGTTGATTCCGTTCTATTGATCCCATTGTCATTAGACGATATTTCTCGGAGGTAAACTCTCCGAGTATTGTACGCCGCACAAGTACGTCTAACGTTCCTCCGATCGATAATTACAACTTGGCGTTGCAATATCCGATGTCTCGAAGCAAGAATCGCATGCAATTTGATCGGTTAATGATATGCGTTTTCAGTTTTGTTCGTTGTTGCGTTATTTTTTTTTCTTTCCTCGCGCAATCGACGACATCGGTATTTTTTCGACGTTTCAAAACTCGCGCGAAAGCATTTTGCGACACACGGTTTTGTGCTGACGTTAAAAAAAAAAAAAAAAAAAAAACAATGCGTGTCAAAATTAGATGCGAAAATTAAATGCTCTTTTTTTATGTAGAAGTAAGAAAAAAAGTAGATTCTACTTTGACGCTGCTATGTACGTCCGAAATTTCCTTTTTTCCTGCTAAAGTTTTAAAGTTGGGTTTCAATTCTCAGATCAGACTGCGCATTGCAGGCTCTGATAGGCTCAAAATAAATTCTGACAGGCTCAAAGTAGGAGTAAGAAAAAAAGTAGATGCTACTTTGACGCTGCTATACGAAATTTCCTTTTTTCAAAAATTGAGGTTCAATGTAGACGCTAAATTTCGACTCGGGATGGATACACACATGTATCAAGGTTTACGTTTCTTTTTTCTCGATATATTCTCCGCGCTCTTTTTTTCTTCTCTCTTCTTTCTCAAGTTGCAATTTCTATCGATCGTACCTGCCGAACATCACAAAGTCCGCTACGAAGGCCACATAAGTATCGACACCTTATTCTACGTGACTAAAAACGTAATAACACTTTACCGCACAATCGATCGCGCGCGGTGCGCAAAATGACGATGTCGCAATAGATCTAGGAAAGGAGCCGGACATCGGAGTCTTGCGCTCTCACATTGTTTTCCGTGCGTAAATGGTCGAATTCCGAAAAAAATTCACTTGATTATATAACTTCTGCGGACTTGCATTCTAAAAAAACGTTTCCCGGTTGAAATCAAAACTTAAAATAATTGTGACCAGTTTTTCTGGTTCTAAATATTTTAAACGAACATTAAATTGGTCGTTAAGAGTCCAAGAACGACTATATAAATATATTTATATTATTTCAGTGTATTAATTGAATTTTGAATTGAAAATTCGAATTCTTTAATTTATATAAGATGGTTTTGCATCACATATATACGAGAATTATCTGTTTCCTTATCTAATTTTAAAATATTGCGGAAAAAACACCTCGGCCAGAAGTCGAACCTGGCAATCTCTCGCTTTTTGTGCGATTATATATTCGTTTCGCACGAACATCCAGCATTTTTGGCACTTAATTACCAATTTAATGTTTAGAGAATTTCAAAAGCCTACTTACTTCTTCGTCTAAGTGTTTTATTTGCGTATCTGAGATACTAAAACTTAAAAAAAAAGACAAAAATATTGGCCGCTAGAGAACCACAAGATATTTCGGAGCAACAATACGTCTGTTAATTAAAAAAAAAAGGATAATATATATAATTGTTTTCTACAACTATGAGAACTGGGCGCCTGAGAGTTCAGCTCTTCGGCAATTAGCTTCTCGGTTGGTCACTCGTGGCCAGCACGCGTCGTATTGGACGCATCGCGCGTCTAACTGTACATCGCGCGCTACTATTCGTCCCATGGTTGGACGGCGCTCCACGGGAATGGAGGTCAAGTACTCGAAAATGTGGTCGTGGTCGTGACGCCTCTAAGTAAGAGAAATTTCCTCGCTCGAGTTTTACGCGACGGCGAGCAAACGACCGCGCGATGAATTGTGCTCACGTTGTTCAAGAAAGAACAACGCGCGCGCGCGCGCGCGATAATAAGCAAATTTTCTCCGGTGTATCTCTTTGATATCAAATATAAATTCCTCGTAATGTTATATTTCGCGAGATGAATAAAAGATTAGAAAAAACTGTACGCGCGCCGCGTTCGGTATTGAAATGCGAACGGTATTAAAATTTAAACGATTTTAAAAGTCTGCTTAATCAAACGCGCGCTTACGGATATTCCTTGAATTGCGATGACTAAAATTATTCAAGAATTTGATCGATAATCGAATCATATACACACATCGACATAAATATTCATTAAAAAAGGATAAAAAAAAAAAAAAAAACGATATTTCAGAACGGATTTGATTTAGAATGATTAATGCGTGTGTCATCCTTACGTGTTTTTTTTTAAACGATCATCACGTACACTGTGTGTATTATTACTTTAGTATACATATATACACAGGTCTAGTAAATGTATCATTGTATATCCCGAGTCGAAATTTAACGTCTACATTGAACCTCAATTTTTGAAAAAAGGAAATTTCGGACGTATATCAGCGTCAAAGTAGCGTCTACTTTTTTTCTTACTCCTATTTTGAGCCTATCAGAGCCTATTTTGAGCCTATCAGAGCCTGCAATGCGCAGTCTGAGTTGAGAATTGAAATCCTACTTTAAAACTTTAGCAGGAAAAAAGAAAATTTCGGACGCGTATAGCAGCGTCAAAGTAGCATCTACTTATTTTCTTACTCCTATTTTGAGCCTATCAGAGCTCGCAACGCGCAGTCTGATCTGAGAATTGAACCCTACCTTAAAACTTTAGCAGGAAAAAAGGAAATTTTTCGAACGTATAGCAGCGTCAAAGTAACATCTACTTTCTCTCTTACTCCTACATAAAAAAAGAAAAATTGAGGTTCAATGGAGACGCTAAATTTGGACTCTTGGTTTTTATAACAAAAATAAATACCGCGCAAAACTTGCCTTGCGAGACCGTGAAATAAATACGCGCGCGCGCGTGAAAAGCCGGAAAAGAAAAGTCGGAATCACACACACACACACACACACACGAGAGAAACAGGGTGGGGAGAATTTCTTTCGTGAAGTGCGGCGCTTTTCTGTTAGAAAGCCGAACCCGCAACTGCGCATCGATGCGCCACCGATGAATTCCTATCATTCTTTTGCTCGTTCGTCGCGCGCACGAGCCCGATAATTATGCAATTTTGAAAAGAAGAAACGGCGAGAAACGTAAACGGCAAATCACGTGGCAATTAACGGCGAATAAACATGCAAATTTATTATGTTGATTTTACTCATTTGTTTTACGTCTTAATTTATTCCTCGCGTTACAGTCGCTACTTTGACTCGAAATGTTTTGCACAACAATCCTTCGCACGTAATCGATGTACGAAATTTACAATTTGCCCGGATTGATCAATCGAATTATTGCAACCGAGATGAAGATCTTCGTTTAAAAAATTCCGTTTTATTATGACAGATGACCCAGATCTATGAGCGTTTTCTACCAGTTTGAAACGCGATTGAGGTCGCGTAAGATCTTCGAATAATGTCTTTCTCTTAATACAAAGTGTTAGAAGAAAAACCGACAAAAAAATAGCAATTATGAAAAAATCCAAAGGAAATCTCGAAACAGATACAGATTTCGAAACGTGAAATCCAAAAGATGGTTAGATAAAAAAATTCAAATTCACAAAGAAGTAAACAAGAATTTTATGCGAGGATCCGATATAGATTTTCAAATTGTGTGAATTTAATTTTAAATTTAATACGTCATCGATTTTTAATATGTCGTAATTTTTTTTTAGAGCGTAAATTGATATACATATAATCACATGTATCTCTAAAAAAAAAAAAATCCGCATCCTCGGCTCTTACTTGATTTTGTTATTTCCCTCACATAGAGTTGAACACAAAAAAGTCACATGTGATCTGTTGACAATTGAAAGAAGAAAAAGAACATAATAATGACATTTCGCCGTTTTTTTGAAGGAAGCGATGACAAGAGACACGTTTCTCTTATAAATTTTTTTTTTATACTCATGTACCCAGAAAATTGCAACATAAATATTCTCTCAACTAGCTCGCGCAATGCGAGGGGAGAGAGATTACTTTTTGCAGCGCGCTGCCGCCAGCCTGTTTTCTTGGAAGCGGAATACTTTATCCAAACTTACGACACTACTTTTACGATCCTTAGCTTCGGTTCCTTAAGTCACGATTTAGCGTTATCTTCTTCCGATTAACCAGTTTCAGGCGGGGGGGGGTTGGGAGGAGGGGCCTGGTAACGCAAGTTTAAACGTGGTAAAATGCGCTATGCGCGCGCCCGCACGCGGCATAAATAATAATAAACGCGCAATGCAATGCGGCCGCACCGAGGTGCTGAGAAAACGAGAAACGCGCCGAAGGATAAATATTTATACGAGAAAAGGCGCAAAGTGCGCCTATGCGCGAGTTGCGCGCGGTGATTGTTTCGCCGCTCTCAGATCCTGACGAAGGACTTGGCCAACGCGACCGGTATTATAAAATTCATTCCTTGTACAGTGTTGCGAGTCGGCTTGGAATCCAAAAGGAAGAAATCTTTTCAAGGATGCGCGTTATGCCCCGAGGATTTTCAAAACCGGTCGACCTTGTTCCTTAGGGTTTTGCGTTAATCGAAATCAATTGCGGATCAACGACCTCGATCAAAAGGTCGTGACGCAATCGGCCATCCTCGAGATGACCGTGGCAGATTGCTTCAATCCAATCGTCGTGATTGTTGTGTGACATTTGACGGGGGAAAAAAAATAATAATAAGGACAGAAAAACTGATTGAGTAAAAACGCTTGAATAAAAAAGCGAAGTTTTTTTTTTTTTTTTTTTGTTAAATACGTTTTTTTCTCACCGCGAGAGAATTCATTTTTCTCATGACATTACCGTCTTGTTGCAATCGTCATTCGAATTCCTATCCGTGTTCCGGCTTGTGTATTCAATCCCAGTCAGCTCGTTTTAATTCTTTTACAACTGAGAATTCAATTAGCATTCAAAAGCTCGCGATCGCAAGATAATTATTGACTGTGCAACGTGCATATGTGCGATGTGATTCATTCACGCGTTTTTTGATCTTGTCTGGTGCTTCAGGGGCGGCTGTGGCAATAGGAGTTCTGCTGATAATTCTGGCCGCCGTTCTCGCGGTCGTGTTCCCGAAGATCATCGATCTGATACTGGACAACGAGCTCGCGTTGCGCGACGGCGGGCGCACGTACAATTTCTGGAAGGAGCCGCCTGTGGTGCCGCGCATGCAGATCTACATCTACAACGTAACGAACGCCGACGAGTTTCTGAACAACAATGAGAAACCGGTGTTGCAGGAACTCGGACCGTATGTTTACTCGCAACACTGGCAAAAGGAAGACATCAAATTCAATGAGAACGGCACCGTCACGTACAAAGTCAAGAAGACGTTCGTCTTCAACGAGGTGAGGTTTTTCTATCCGACGCTCGAATCGATTCTTCGACATTAAAAGACAAAATGTCGACCCAACGAACGGACGGTGTGTCAAATAGATCGGATATATTTATTGAACAAAAAAATAATTGATAGATGCGCAAATGTTGAAACACAATTCTTAATGTGTTTTTGGGTATTTCTTAACCCTCTATGGGCCCGAATTTCCCTTTGGTTTCCTATCTGCAGACAACTTGCAAGGTATTTATTTTGACATTTCAGGTTGATGGTGCTGCCAACCGTCATCAATATTGTTATTGGTTATGTAAAGATAAGTGAATGTAGCTTCAAGAATTTTTTAATAGACAAATGTATTCTGGCTATCGAAGCAAAACACTGTTATTGATGTGTGAATGTTTAAATATGTTTATTAAAACTTGGTGGCATAAACGCTTTCGACCTTGTATCAGGTCCTTATCAAATGCATTTCTACAATCAAATCAACATAAAATCCAATTAATAAAATTTAAGAAATTAATTAATTAAAAATCGCAGAATAAATATAATATATAATAGTCACTTACAAATTACTTTGGTAATGTAGGGGAGACCGGGGCACAAAGTAACATCCAAAATAGATTGTAAAAAAAAAAAATGTACGCAATACTATATAATACTAGGTACATTATATAATAGTCACATCCTTTAGCTTTAAGAAAAAACAAATATTATTCTTATATATCTTTACACAAAAGAGTATTTTAATGTTAAGTACAATCGCGCAGATTTGTCAACCTGCCCCATACCCAGGGTTAATT